AGATCCCAGTGTCGCCTAGGAGCTAACCTCTGTACAAACACTGCGGCATGGCAGGCAGCTGTGCCATTTACAATGGGAAACATCCCTGCTACAGCAACTTTTCAGGTCTGTCATTAAGTCCGTTTTGCTGAATAAAATGTTCCTATTATATTTGTGTGGCTAATAGAATTTAAGAACTGCTTCGTCTATTTCAGCTTGATTTCTGACATCAGCCAGCTGAATCTCCCCAGGCAATGCCCTCTACCCTTCTCCACTCATATGCTCCCATAAAAATTGGGCTGTGTCCTCCTCTTGACTGATAGAAAAAGACACGTTGCTTAATTTTGACACAGTCTAGTGCTGTCTGTCTGATGGGTGGACCTAGTGTTTTCCCCATAGCTCTCACCTGGTTAGGCCTGTAAGGTTTTATTTTGTTCTGGGTTTCAGTTGGTCTATTAATGCCATGGTCTACCACAGCTGTGGTAATGGGTGCCCTAGATGAGCCTCTCTCCCCCCCCCCTGCTGCTGCTTTTACCTCCCATAATTCTGTTTCACCTACAAACTCCTCCTCAGACCCATAACCCCTTCAGGGATCTGCATTCATAGCTGACATGACTCCTTGGGCCTTTTTTTTTCTTTTAAGCAGTTAATTTTATGATCATATGAAGAATGAGTTACGCAGCGTTCTTCTGTCCTTCCTTCCTTCAGTTAATTCATGTACAGTGCTGCTTTTACCTCCCATAATTCTGTTTCACCTACAAACTCCTCCTCAGACCCATAACCCCTTCAGGGATCTGCATTCATAGCTGACATGACTCCTTGGGCCTTTTTTTTTCTTTTAAGCAGTTAATTTTATGATCATATGAAGAATGAGTTACGCAGCGTTCTTCTGTCCTTCCTTCCTTCAGTTAATTCATGTACAGCAGCGTTTGATTCTTCTACTTGTTTGGGTAATACAAATGTCTTTATCCTTTCTATTAAAGAGCACCATCCATGCTTGCATTTGCAGTTCTAACTGATCAATCTGCAGATTTCAATTGAAGTTTTGAGATGCCAATGCATTCTTTTGGAAATTTAATGTCTCATTTTCAGTTTCCTCTTGTACCACCACTTCTTTTACGTGGGAGTTTTGTTTTCGCCTTTACAATGTCTGCGTAATTTCCTAGACACCATAATTAGACCATAAATTGAAGCTCACTTTCGAAGCTTTTTACTTGGGGCAGGCTTGGAGGTTACAAAACACCAAGGCAGAAGAAAATCAGAGGGGTAGCCGTGTTAGTCTGAATTTGCATAAACAATGAGAAATCCTGTGGCACCTTTTAGACTGACAGATTTATTGGAGCATAAGCTTTTGTGGCCAAAGACCCACTTTGTCAGATGCATGTCTGAAGAGTGACTCTTTCCAGATGTTGCACTAGAGTCATTGCTTAAGACAGTCACTCTCATCTTAGGTCCTTGTGACATTCAATA